GAGCCCAGGAGGCGGAGGTTGCGGTGAGCCGAGATCGCGCCATTGTACTCCAGCCTGGGTAACAAGAGTGAAACTCCGCCTCAAAAAAAAAAAAAAAAAAAAAAAGTATTTTTCTGGCCAGGTGTGGTGGTGGCTCAGGTCTGCAATCCCAGCACTTTCAGAGGCCAAGGTGGGTGGGTCACTTGAGGCCAGGAATTTGAGACCAGCCTGGCCAACATGGCACAACCCCTTCTCTCCTAAAACATCAAAAAATAGATGGGAATGATCGCACACACCTGTAATCCCAGCTACTTGGGAAACTGAGGCACAAGAATCACTTCAACCCGGGAGGTGGAGGTTACAAGTGAGCCGAGATCACACCACTGCACTCTAACCTGAGTGACAGAGCAAGACCATCTCAAATATAGACATATCTTTTTCTTTCTTTTTTTTTTTTTTTTTTTTTTTTGAGACAAGGTCCCACTCTGTTGCCCAGGCTGCAGTGCAGTGGTGTGATCACAGCTCACTGCAGCATCAACCTCCTGGGTTCAAGCCATCCTCAGATTTCAGCCTCTCCAGCACACATCACCATGCCTGGCTACTTTTTGTTTTTTTGACAGAGTCTTGCTCTGTCATCAGGCTGGAATGCAGTGGTGCGATCTCAGGTCACTGCAACCTCCACCTCCCAGATTCAAGTGATTCTCCTGCTTCAGCCTCCCAAGTAGCCAGGACTACAGGCATGTGTCACTGCATCCAGCTAATTTTGTATTTTTAGCAGAGACAGGATTTCACCATGTTGACCAGGATGGTCTTGATCTCTTGACCTCATGATCCACCCGCCTTGGCCTCCCAACGTGCTGGGATTACAGGCGTGAGCCACCACACCTGGCCTAATTTTTGTATTTTTTTTGTAGAGATGGGGTTTCACCAAGTTGTCCAAACTTGTCTTGAACTCCCGTGCTCAAGTGATCTTCACTGCTCAGACTCTTAAAGCCTGGAATTACAGGCATGAGCCACTGTGCCCAGTAAGGAAGCATTTTAAAATTATCTTTGTCTTCAGGAGTAGAAACACTTTTCTTCCTTGCAAGAAAATTAAGGTGGGCTCCAGAGGCTCATGCCTGTAATCCCAGCACTTTGGGAGGCTGAAGTGGATCTCTTGAGCCCAGGAGTTTGAGACCAGCTTGGGCAACATGGCAAGATCTGGTCTCCATAAAAAATAAAAAATAAATTAGCCAGGCATGGTGGCATGCACCTGTATTCTCAGGAGTTTGAGGCTACAGTGAGCCATGAGCCTAGGCAACAGAGTGAGACCTTCTCTCTTTAAAAAAAAAAAAAAAGGCCGTGTGGCTCATGCCTGTAATCCCATCACTCTGGGAGGCTGAGGAGAGCAGATCACGACGTCCAGGATTCAAGACCAGCCTAAACAACATGGTGAAACCCCGGCTCTACTAAAAAAAAATACAAAAATTAGTCGTGCGTGGTGGTGCGTGCCTGTAATCCCTGCTACTCAGGAGACTGAGGAAGAATTGCTTGAACCCGGGAGGCAGAGGTTGCGGTGAGCCAACATCATGCCACTGCACTCCAGCTAGGGTGACAGAGTGAGACTCCGTCTCAAAAAAAAAACCTAATCACATACTGATAAGTCATTTAAAAAATTAAGGAACTAAAAAGCTCTTCTGCTTGCCTGTGGCCATTAAGACGTGCCTTTCCTCCCGCTTTGCCTTCCGCCATGGTGGTGAGGCTCCCCCAGCCAGGGGGGTGCTGCAGCGTGGCCGCCATCACCGCAGCAGCCCTTCAGTGGTGCTGCTGCTGTGTGGAGCTGGGGCACACCTAAAGACCAGGCATTCCTCCCACGGAAGGCGTCTGGGCGATCACCACCACCGGTCTGGGGGAGACCACAACAACCCCCGTGGACAACTCCTAGCCACTGACTACGGCCTGAAAAGAGAGCAACTGTTCTCTAGGTGCTTATCCAGGAGAATTAATAACAAGTACCTGATGCGCACTCAACGACAGAAAATGTGAAAACTAAAAAATAAACAGGCTGGGCGCAGTGGCTCGTGCCTATAACCCCAGCACATTGGGAGGCCGAGGTAGGCAGGTCACATGAGGCCAGGAGTTCGAGACCAGCCTGGCCAACATGGCGAAAAGCCCGTCTCTACTAAAAGTATAGAAATTAGCCGGGCATGGTGGCGCGTGCCTATCATCCCAGCTACTCGGGAGGCTGAGGCAGGAGAATCACTTGAACCCGAGAGGCAGAGGCTGCAGTGAGCTGAGATCGCATCAGTGCACTCCAGTCTGAGTGACAACAGTGAGAATCCATCTCAAAAAAATAGTAACCAATAACCAATAAATAAATAAATAGGCTGGATGTGGTGGTCCAAAGTGTAACCCTAGCACTTTGGGAAGCTGAGGCAGGTGGATCACCTGAGGTCAGGAGTTCAAGACCAGCCTGGCCAACATGATGAAATCCCATCTCTACTAAAAATACAAAAAATTAGGCAGGTGTGGTGGTGTGTGCCTGTAATCCCAGCTACTCGGGAGGCTGAGACAGGAGAATCATTTGAACCCGGGAGGCAGAGGCTGTGGTAAGCTGAGATCGTGCCACTGCACTCCAGCCTCAGCAAGAGCAAGACTCCATCTCGAAAACAAATTTAAAAATAAATAAATACCTGTAATCCCAGCACTTTGGAAGGCTGAGGTGGGCAGATCACTTGAAGTCAGGAGTTCAAGACCAGCCTGGCCAACATGGTGACACCTGGTGTCTATTAAAAATACAAAAATTAGCTGGATGTGGCAGCGGATGCCTGTAGTCCCAGCTACTTGGGAAGCTGAAGCAGGAGAATCGCTTGGGAGGCTGAGGCAGAGGTTGCAGTGAGCTAAGATCGTGCCACTGGACTCCAGCCTGGGCGACAGAGCGAGACTCCATCTCAAAAAATAAAGTAAAACAAACCAACTACTAAAAAGGCAAAAATAAAAAATAAATGATAAATAAATAGATAAAAGTTCTATAAGAAGTAGAAGCCCGGTGCAGTGGTCCATATCTGCAAGCCCAGCACTTTAAGGAGCTGAGACAGGTGGATCACCCGTACTCAGGAGTTCAAGATCAGCCTGGGCAACATGGTGAAACCTCATCTCTACCAAAAATACAAAAAATTAGCCAGGCATGGTGGTAGGTGCCTGCAGGCCCAGCTACGTGGGAGGCTGAGGCACAAGAATTGCTGGAGCCTGGGAGGTGGAGGTTACAGTGAGCTGAGATCGCACCACTGCATCCTGGCCTGGGTACAGTGAGCTGAGATCGCACCACTGCATCCTGGCCTGGGTGCAGTGAGCTGAGACTGCACCACTACATTCTAGCCTGGGTGACAGAGTGAGAGTCTGTCTCTCCAAAAAAAATGAAAAGCAGAAAGAAATGAGGAAAAACATTTCTAATCCAGATTTTGTGGGAAAAATGTGAATTTGACTTTTGTTTACAAACCAAAGTCCACAGTACCATACCCGAAAAAGCAGCTACAGAACAACACATCCCTGTTCTCTCCTGTGGCCTTCAGAGCTCCCCAGCTGTGCTGAGTAGACAGACGCCTTCCCCCCTCATCCTCTCACCCCTGCACCCGGTGACACACGGTGCCTGTCTGCTCGGTCTGGACTATGAGAAGAAGCTGAGAAGCCTCCACCCTCCGTACAACCTACTCTGGCTCTAGGAATTTCTCTCTGCCATCTTCATGTCACCCACCTCAACCTTTATGTGACCTGAAAGGCTTCAGCTTAGGTAAAGGGTTCATATGAAGCACAGACTTCACACAAAAAGAAGCCAAAGGGGCCTAGGTGAGCTTCTGCTTCTGCTGCAGTAAGAAGAAGCTGCAGAAAACGAGGGTATGGCGACCTGTGAGCCTCCCACCAGGCACAGGAGCCACCTTCTGAAGAGCGTGCCGGAAGCTGGGCAGGCGCTGTGACAGCAGACAGGTGGAACACGGCACCAGGAAGGGACTGAGCATTTACCCGGCCAGTCGCCGACAAAGACTCAACAGGGGCCGGGCGCAGTGGCTCACGCCTGTAATCCCAGCACTTTGGGAGGCCAAGGCAGGTGGATCACGAGGTCAAGAGATCGAGACCATCCTGGTCAACATGGTGAAACCCCGTCTCTACTAAAAACACTAAAAATTAGCTGGGCATGGTGGTGCGTGCCTGTCATCCCAGCTACTCAGGAGGCTGAGGCAGGAGAATTGCCTGAACCCAGGAGGCGGAGGTTGCGGTGAGCCGAGATCGCGCCATTGCACTCCAGCCTGGGTAACAAGAGCGAAACTCCGTCGCAAAAAAGAAAAAAAAGACTCAACAGACGATGTTCTCCAAACTTAATAAAATATCAGGCAGGTTTCAGTACGTGAAGACAACCTCAAGTATGAATAATGTCTATAAAAGGTGAGTATTCATAGGCCCAGGCACAGTGCCTCACGCCTGTAATCTCAGCACTTTGGGAGGCCGAGGCGGGCAGATCATGAGGTCAGGAGATCAAGACCATTCTGGTCGACATGGTAAAACCCCATCTCTACTAAAAATACAAAAATTAGCTGTGTGTGGTGGTGTGCGCCTGTAATCCCAGCTACTTGGGAGGCTGAGGCAGGAGAATTGCTTCAACCCAGGAGGCGGAGGTTGCAATGGGCCGAGATCGCTCCACTGCACTCCAGCCTGGGCAACACAGCGAGACTCAAAAAAAAAAAAAAAAAAGAAAAAAAGAAAAGAAAAGGTGAGTACATATTCACAAATAATGGCTGATATGCATAAATTGTTTCCCTTTCTGAAACAAACCAACCATATTTACAAAAACCAGAACTACCTTAACAATCACAGCTGTCACTTTTCTGTAGGAAAAGCTTCATGTGTAAATGATTTTCCACAGCTCCCTTTTCCAGAAAGTCGGGGCAGGGGCCTTGTGAGCCAAGGCGGGTCTTGCACAGTGCCGCAGGCGCCAGGCGGCCGGGGAGTTCAGTACACATCATGTCTTTCCACTATCCCCAAGTTACCTCCTTCCGTTCGGCGTCAGCATGGATCTTGGCCTGGTTTGCGGCAGCTTCTCGGTAGGTGCTGGCGTGTTTGGCTTGTTCAAACACCGTCTTTAGCTGCTGTGCGGTGTTGAGCAAGGAGTTGACCATCTCTTCTAGGTACAACCAGCTCCGAGGCTCCGACAGCTCCAGCCCATTCACCATGGCAGGAGGTGACGCTTTGGTGGGAGTCGGGGGTGGGACTGCCAGGGCAGGCAGGGATGTCAACACTAGAGCATTTGCAAAGCAAAATAACAAAGAAATTAATACATTTCCTATTTATGGTCTCCATTAAAAATTCTCATCACCTGGCACAATGGCTCATGATTGCAATCCCCACATTTTGGGAGGCTGAGGTAGGAGGATCACTTGAGCCCACGAGTTCAAGACCAGCCTCGGCAACATAGCAAGACCTTGTCTCTACAAAAGAAAAACAAAACCAACTAGCTGGGCATGGTGGCATTCACCTGTGATCCCAGTTACTCAGGAAGCTGAGGTGAGAGGATCACGTGAGCCCAGGTGGTCAAGGCTACAGCGAGCTGTGATTGTACCAATGCCCTTCAGCCTTGGTGAGCTAGTGAGACACTGTCTCAGAAAGAAAAGAAAAGAAGCCGGGTGTGGTGGCTCACACCCATAATCCCAGCATTTTGGGAGGCTAAGGCGGGCAGATCACTTGAGGTCAGGAGTTGGAGGCCAGCCTCATCAACATTGGGAAACCCTCTCTCTACCAAAAAAATAAAAAAATTAGCCAGGCATGGAAGCATCTGTAATCCTAGCTACCTGGGGCATGATAATCACTCGAACCCAGGAGGCAGAGGTTGCAGTGAGCCGAGATCAAGCCACTGCACTCCAGCCTGGGTGACAGAGTGAGACTCCAACTCAAAAATAAAAAACAGAAAAGAAAACTCTCACCAAATGTTGGGAAGTACGGTAAAAAACTGACCAACAGACAACAAATCACTGCCTGACATCCCCCCAGCTTGCACCAGAAGTGAGGCGTCCATGCCTTCCCACTCCACCCATACAGCTCCACGTTGTAAAAATCATCCGAATGTGCCTGCTGGACCCGGAAATGTTCACAAAATCAGCCCTGAGGGCAATAACCGGAAAGAACTGGCCCCAGGCTAAATCTTTTTTTGTTGTTGTTGAGACGGTGTTTCGTTCTGTTGCCCAGGCTGGAGTGCAGTGGCGTGATCTTGGTTCACTGCCCTCCTAGGTTCAAGCAATTCTCCTGTTTCAGCCCCACAAAGCCAGGATTACAGGCATTCATCGGCATGCCCAGCTAATTTTTGTATTTTTAGTAGAGACCAAGTTTCACCATGTTGACCAGGCTGGTCTCGAACTCGTGTCCTCAGATGATCCACCTGCCTTGGATTCCCAAAGTGCTGGGATTACAGGCGTGAGCCACCATGCCTGGCCCCAGGCTAAATCTCGTAAACAGTAAAGCTGACAAAAGAATTCCTGGTTTCAGTTCTGCTCACCCAGAAAGTCTTCGTGGGTGCCTGCAGTCACACATGGGGGATTTATTAAAGATAATAGGAGTGCCGGGCGCTGTGGCTCACGCCTGTAATCCCAGCACTTTGGGAGGCCGAGGCGGGCGGATAACAAGGTCGAGAGATCAAGACCAACCTGGTCAACATGGTGAAACCCCGTCTCTACTAAAAATACAAAAAAAATTAGCTGGGCATGGTGGCACGTGCCTGTAATCCCAGCTACTCAGGAGGCTGAGGCAGGAGAATTGCCTGAGCCCAGGAGGCGGAGGTTGCGGTGAGCCGAGATCGCGCCATTGCACTCCAGCCTGTGTAACAAGAGCGAAACTCCGTCTCAAAAAAAAAAAAAGATAATAGGAGTTCGGTTTCTTTCCTTTTTTTTTATTTTTTGAGATGGAGTCTTGCTCTTGTTGCCCAGGGTGGAGTGCAATGGTGCGATCTCAGCTCACTGAAACCTTCACCCCCTGCCTGAGTTCAAGCAATACTTTTGCCTCAGCCTCCCACGTAGCTGGAATTACAGGCATGAGCCACCAAGCCCAGCTAATTGTGTATTTTTAGCAGAAACAGGGTTTCTCCACGTTGGTCAGGCTGGTCTCGAACTCCCAACCTCAGGTGATCCATCTGCCTCTGCCTCCCAAAGTGCTGGGATTACAGGCGTGAGCCACCAGGCCCAGCCGGGTTTCTTACAACTGGAGAAGAAAGCCAAAAAGTGGGAAAGGACAGGAAGCAGAACAAAGGCTGAGGTTCTGCTGAAACTGGAGATACTGGGGCAAGGCATGGCTTTCAACACACACAGACCTAGAGCACAACTGTGCACATGTGCGCGTGAGCACGCTCCTGGCTTCTGCGTACCAAGAGCAGCGGAGAACAGAGATCCAGGAGCCTCAGGCACAGCTCGCACCTGGGGCGAGTGGGCGATGGGAACCCCCAGCCCTCCAGGAGAAAAAGCCCTCATTTGAAGCATTTGCCGATTTCTTTGTATAAACAGTTCATCAACATCTGCCCCACACTTCTTTTTTTAATCTATAGAGATGCGGTCTCCTTAGGTTGCCCAGGCTGGTCTCAAACTCCAGGCCTCGGCTTCCTCAAGTGCTAGGATTACAGGGGTGAGCCTTCGCACCCAGCCCCGAGATGAGCTTTAAAGGTGGAAAGAGTTTAAATAGGTGTCTCACACCTGTAATCCCAGCACTTAGGGAAGCCAAGGAGAGTGGATCACTTGAGGTCAGGAGTTCAAGACCAGTCTGGCCAAAATGGTGAAACCCCCATCTCTATAAAAAATATAAAATTTAGCCGGGCGCGGTGGCTCAAGCCTGTAATCCCAGCACTTTGGGAGGCCGAGGCGGGTGGATCACAAGGTCAAGAGATCAAGACCAACCTGGTCAACATGGTGAAACCCCGTCTCTACTAAAAATACAAAAATTAGCTGGGCGTGGTGGCGTATGCCTGTAATCCCAGCTACTAAGGAGGCTGAGGCAGGAGAATTGCCTGAACCCAGGAGGCGGAGGTTGCGGTGAGCCTGAGATCGCGCCATTGCACTCCAGCCTGTGTAACAAGAGCCAAACTCTGTCTCAAAAAAAAAAAAAAAAAAAAAAAATTTAAGCAGGGCACGGTGGCTCAAGCCTGTAATCCCAGCACTTTGGGAGGTTGAGGCGGGTGGACCACGAGGTCAAGAGATTGAGAACATCCTGGTCAACATGGTGAAACCCCGTCTCTACTAAAAATACAAAAAATTAGCTGGGCATGGTGGCGCGTGCCTGTAATCCTCAGCTACTCAGGAGGCTGAGGCAGGAGAATTGCCTGAACCCAGGAGGCGAAGGTTGTGGTGAGCCGAGATCGCGCCATTGCACTCCAGCCTGGGTAACAAGAGCAAAACTCCATCTCACCAAAAAAAAAAAAAAAAAAATATATATATATATATATATATGTAAAATTTAGCTGGGTGTGGTGGTGTGTGCCTGTAATCCTAGCTTCTTGGGAGGCTGAGGCAGAAGACTGCTTGAACCCAAGAGGCGGAAGTTGCAGTGGGCAGAGATCGCACCACTGCACCCCAGCCTGGGTAACAGCACGAGGCTCTGTCTCAAAAAGAAAAAAGTGCAATTGATTAAATGAAAAATCAAAGTTAAAATATGTTTACAGTGTACTGTCATTTTAAAGATTTAGGCTGCATGTGATACCAAACTTGGTCTTTCATTCTTTCACCAGATACCAAATGTCCATGCTAGCTCTGGAGAGACCAACTCCCACCTGCGGAGTGTCTACCCTCACGGAGAAGACGACAGCAAGTTCATCAGTAGGAACTTCAGGCTTCACAGGCTAATTGGTTGCTGGGAGAGTGCCTTGCTGTTGTACCAAAAGCAGCTTCCACGGCACACACGTGAATGGATGTGGCTGTGTCAATAAAACTTTATTTACAAACATACACAGTGGGCCACACTTTGCCGGTCACTGATCTAATGCATCAACAACAACAAACAAAAACCAAAACAAATCCAATTTCACTTAGAAATTCTTTCACACAATTCTGAGGACAACAGCCTATACATGTGTGAATTCTTTCAAACCCACCTATTTTGGGATGTGACGTTGGCAATGCAGCCTCTGGAAACGGTGCAATCTGGCAGCTGTCCTGATAGCCGGGGTAGTGAGGCTCGGGGTGGCTGGCCCTGCATGGTGGCTGCACGCCGGCCTCTTGGACTGTTGGTGGGAAAAGCAACAAGCAGCCTCAGGGTGGTTGTCTGCACGCCGACTCAAAATATCTCGCTCGATGGCTGTGCCATTTAATACACAAGAGTAGCTTGTGGCCCCTCATGGCTACCAAGTCCCTGAAATGTGGTGAGCCTGAAGTGCTGACATGGTAGGATTGGTGACATTCAGGTGAAATAAAATATATTATGGAAATTAGTTCCAGCTATTTCCTTGATTTTTCTCAATGTGGCTACTAGAATATTTTCCAGTGTGCATCTGGCTAGGATGCATTTCTGTTGCACAACCCTGGTCAAAAGCAGGGGCCAGGCCAGGCGCGGTGGCTCACTCCTGTTATCCCAGCACTTTGGGAGGCTGAGGCGGGCGGATCATGAGGTCAGGAGTGTGAGACCAGCCTGGCCAACGTGGTGAAACCCCATCTCTACTAAAAATACAAAAATTAGGCTGGGCGCGGTGGCTCAAGCCTGTAATCCCAGCACTTTGGGAGGCCGAGACGGGTGGATCACAAAGTCAGGAGATCGAGACCATCCTGGTCAACATGGTGAAACCCTGTCTCTACTAAAAATACAAAAAAAAAATTAGCTGGGCATGGTGGCGCGTGCCTGTAATCCCAGCTACTCAGGAGGCTGAGGCAGGAGAATTGCCTGAGCCCAGGAGGCGGAGGTTGCGGTGAGCAGAGATCGCGCCATTGCACTCCAGCCTGGGTAACAAGAGCGAAACTCCGTCTCGGAAAAAAAAAAAAAAAAAAATCAGCGGGGCGTGGTGGTATGCATCTGTAATCCCAGCTGCTTGGGAGGCAGAGGCAGGAAAATTGCTTGAACCCGGGAGGCGGAGGTTCCGTGAGTCGAGATGGCACCATTGTACTGCAACCTGGGTGACAAAAGCAAGACTCGATCCCAAAAAACAAAAATAAACAGGAGCCAGAAGATGGAGAGTATTTTCAGCTTTGCCAGCTCTGGGGTTTCTCACAAGTAACCCACTCCCACAAGCTGACCCCACGCACACTGAACCACCCACTGGATCACCCACCAGATGTGGCTCACATGCTGCCCCCACAGCAAACGCCTGGTTCCAGGCCCCACTTCAGGTGCCCAGCAGCCGACGCAGTCCAAAGTGGTATTGGTGATGTGATGTCACAGCCAAGGACGCACTGAGGACATGTTGAATTGGGTGATGTGATGTCACAGTCAAGGACGCACTGAGGACGTGAGAATTGGGTGATGTGATGTCACAGTCAAGGACGCACTGAGGACGTGTGAATTGGGTGATGTGATGTCACAGACAAGGACGCACTGAGGACGTGTGAATTGGGTGATGTGATGTCACAGTCAAGGACGCACTGAGGACGTGAGAATTGGGTGATGTGATGTCACAGTCAAGGGCCACTGAGGACGTGAGAATTGGGTGATGTGATGTCACAGACAAGGGCCACTCAGGATGTGAGAATTGGGTGATGTGATGTCACAGACAAGGGCCACTCAGGATGTGAGAATTGGGTGATGTGATGTCAGAAAATGGCGCCCTGACGATGTCAGGTAGGCACTGGAGCAGCTCACCTGTGGCTCCTGTGAAGACATCGCCCTGGGCCGGACTCTCGGATATGACAGCAGTGGCCTCCACGGTGGATGCTCGGTCAAAGGTCAGTGCCCCGGAGGTTGTGATTTGTCCTGAGGGGGTCACGGTGACTGGAAAGGCAGAAGCACATTTCACGTGGCCAGGCCAGACAGTGGTGCCCATGGCACACAGGTCCTGTGCCACCCACGGGCGCCGATCATTGTGGAGGCCTGGGCTGAAGCGCGGGCAGCGGTCGCCATACCCTCACATGTGAAGGACGTGGGAGAAAGCCCAGACCTTGGAGAACACCCCACAGAAGAAAGCCAGGATGGCAGCTGGCCACCATCAATTGTTATGTTTACATTGTGAGCCATGGCAGTGTGCTGCCAGCCAGAATCAAATAAAACTTTAAATGATTTTTAAATAGTTGTGGTTTGAATCAAGAAAGTCTTTCATCCAAGGTGAAGGTAAAAAGCGGCCGCGGCCTACAGCACGGCTGCCTCTTCGGCCCAAGAGAAATCCCAGCAATGGATGGAGACTCCGCTGCCATGGAACAGTGCCCACACCTACCACCCAGGCCTCGGGAAGGAGCCGACAGGGCGTTTCAGAAAGACCTTGCTCTATCAATGCAAAAGTCCAGACTTATATTAGCTAAGGCTCATGACGAAGACATTTTCTCTTATTACTGCCTCTCCCTGTTTAAATCTGGTCTGTACAAAAAATAAACACATGAGCTGGGCATGGTGGCACCTGCCTGTGGTCCCAGCTACTTGGGAGGCTGAGATGGGAGGAAGCTGGGGCAGCAGTGAGCAGGGATCCTGACGCTGCCCTCCAGCCCAGCCACAGACAAGCCCCCAGACGTCTCTGCAGGCCTTGCCCAGCGGCCTGAGAACCAGTCACCTACGACACACTTGTCAGGAAATGTCCCCAATCACGTGCAGGGCACTGGGCATGGCGCTCCTCACACTGGCAAACAGCCCAGGACAGGGCCAACAGTGCCCGGGTCCCAGGGAAGCACTGGACAGCGCTTAGGCCGCCTCAGTAAACCAGAGCCGTGTGTTCTCAAACTCACAGGTGGTGGCCGCGGTGGCTGGAAGCAGGGTGATATTCTTGGGAGAGTCCTTCTTCACGGGCGCTGTGGGCAGCTCATTCTCCTTCTTGCGCCTTTTGTAAGGCACAAAAAGCCTGACAGGGCCACTCTGGGGGAGAAAGGCAGAGTTGGACAGGCCGCCACGTTCATGTGTGCAAAAGCTATGCTGCTCCTTATATGGGGGCACCTCAGGGTGTGTGAGTCACACGGTGAGACCCCAGCAAGAAGGTAATCGCCCCTAAAGTTCCCACCTCTTTAGGCCCTAAATCCCCTAAAATGACAGAAAGGATAATTTTAAAAAGAACATATGGGCTGGGCGTGGTGGCTCATGCCTGGAATCCCAGCACTTGGGAGGCCGAGGTGGGTGGATCACCTGAGGTCAGGAGTTCGAGACCAGCCTGGTCAACATGGTAAAACCCTGTCTCTACTAAAAATACAGAAATTCCAGATGTGGTGGTGCACACCTGTAATCCCAGTTACTCGGGAGGCTGAGGCAGGAGAATCGCTTGTACCTGGGAGGCGGAGGCTGTAGTGAGCCAAAATCGCGCCAATGCACTCCAGCCTGGGCGACAGAGCGAGAACCCATCTCAAAAACAGACAAACAAACAAACAATTTCTATCTGTTCATTGACTCTCCAGTTAAGGAGACACTGTCTTCAGGCCTTCCAGGAAGTCTCTCGCTGTGGCTTCCCTCAGTCCTCTGAACGTATTTAGGGTGGCTACTGAAGCCTTTGTCTGTTAACCCCACACGGGGCCCTCTCCCAGGCACTGCCTGCTGCCTGCTTTCTTCCTGTGCACGGTTCTCTCTTTCTGGGTTCCTCACGGGTCTTGGAAGCTTAAGAACCACACAATGCAGGCGAGACATGGTGGCAACGGCGGAAAGCGGTTCTCCTTCCTCTGGGCTCCCCGCTACCACTTGCTCGTTGATCATTCAAGGACGGGCTGGACTTTGCTGAGCCCCATTCTCCTGTGGCAGCCTTTGCTGCAGCTCCCCGGAGCGCTCCGCCCTGGGGGTGTGCAGTCCCCTCCGGCCGCGGGGGTTCTGGCTGTCTCTCTCCCTGATCTCTGTCAAGCTGTTGGTTTAGTGAAGTGTCAGAATCAACTCACCGCCAGCTGTTTGCTCCATGACTTCCAACGGTGCCCTGGGGCACACGCTGCTCCACCAAGCGAGCCAGTGAAATTAGGACTTCTTTACCAAGGGGTCAGAGCTTTAAGGTTTGTTCCCCAGGTGGGTTCTCAGCTGTGGCTTTCCTTAGCGAGATCTCTGGTAAACTTGCTGACCTACAGCTGAGTTTCCTGCTCTAATGGCGCTGCCGGCCTTAGCTGCTTGCCACCAGAATGTCCACTGCTCTCCAGGGCACTTTCAGGCTTCAACATCCCCGTACTGTTTCAAATCACGTCAGGTCCTTTGGGAAGGGCTTTGGAGCTCTCTGTCCTTACAGCCTCTCTTGGGCTGAATGTCTGAGCCCCTGCTCCAGACCTGGACATAGGGATGGTGCTTGCACCTGTCAGGGAGCCCTGCTGCATTAGCAGGACTCTGCGTGGGGGCAGCAGCCTCTCACCACATGGACCCTCCACCCCATGGGTAACCTGGGTTGAGGGAAATTGGGGCCTCCCTATGCTTGGCCTGCCATGCCTGGGTAAAGCCTCTGCCCCCTGAGTGGGACTGACTTCAGAGGTTTTCCAGACACACTTCCGTGGAATTGACTGCCACTTGGAGCTGAAGGGGTGGAGAAATGCTGGTGGCCGGTGCCTCCCAGTGGGTACCACACCCCTTGACGGGCAGCAGTGAGGAGTGGGAGCCCTGTTTTATTGGCCACAATCATATGGAGGAGTGGCGCCTCCTCCATGGGGAGCTGGTGGCAGAAAGGGAGGGAGGGAGCTGGTCATCGTGCAAATCCCACAACCTCACTGTTCTTCCCAAGACTTAGGACATTTTCTTGGATGTCTCTTTATTTGCTGTATGCCCCTAGGGCAATTTCCAGAGGCTTTCAGGGCTTATTTTAAAAATAATATTCACTAGTTATTTCTCTGGGGAGTCAGTCATCACACAGTGATTCCAGAAGTGGAATCCAAAAGTTTTAAAATTTGATAAAGTCCAACCTAAGAAATCCTAGTTCTAACTGCAGGTAAGGAATATTTTCCAATGTGTTTTCTCCTCAAAGTGTTATCGTTTTACCTTTTACTTTAGATCCATGGCCCATTTGGAATTCACTTTTGTCTAAAGTGTGAAGCTGCGGTCATCCTTTGTCTCGGCCTGTGAACGTGCAGTCACTCCCAGGCCAGGTGCTGGCGTCCGCCATGATGCTCCAGGCAGACCCAGATCCGGGGGTCTCTCCCTCTGCCAGCACCACAGGGTCCTGATTAATGTCACGACCTATAAGCCTTAAGACCCCACAATGCGATTTTACCCATTTTAGACTTTTATTTCAAAACTGTTTTGGCTTTTTTATTTCCTTTACCTTTCTAAATAAATTTTAAAATCAGCTTGTCTGCATCTACAAAGAATTGTTGCAATTTTGATAATAATTGTGTTAAACCTAGGAATCAACTTGGGAAAAAGTCACATCTTTACTCTACTGAGTCTTCCAATTCGCAGACACAGAATGTCTTCTGAAGTATTTGAATCTTCCCCAGCCTCTTTCTTCAGCATTTTCGAGTCTTCCACATACACACCCTGCACATGATTTCCTAGGTCAGCACCCAGGCCCCCCAGTGTTTTGGAGCCGCTGAAAATGATCCACTGGCAGGCTAAACCGCCAGACGGGACTGAGGCGGTCTCCCTGCTCTTCACTCCTGCAGCGTCTCTGTGTCTCACCTGCTGGCTTTTCCAAATCAGCTTCAACATTACTTCACGTTCACAAGAAGTTTTTTCCACTAGAATCACATGAAACCTATATATGAACTAGACAATTCTAGAATGTTTAGTTTTTCACCCCAAGGACACGGTAGGTCTCTTCGTGATTTTTTTGTTTTGTTTTGTTTTGTTTTGTTTTTGAGGTTGAGTCTCGCCAGGCTGGAGTGCAGTGGCGAGATCTCGGCTCACCACAACCTCCGCCTCCTGGATTCAAGTGATTCTCCTGCCTCAGCCTCCTGAGTAGCTGGGATTACAGGTGCCCGCAACAACACCCGGCTAATTTTCATATTTTTAGTAGAAACAGGGGTTCCACGATGTTGGCCAGGCTGTTCTTAGACTCCTGACCTCATGATCCACCCGCCTCGGCCACCAAAGTGCTGCGATCACAGGTGTGACCCACTGTGCCTGGCCCCACTTTTCATTATTTAAGGAGCTTTCCATAAATGCTCTTTGAACAACATCTTGGGGACCAGCCATGTGCCCCCATCGAGACGTCAGGATTCACTGTGGTGTATCCGGGAGCAGGGGCAGAGGAGCCCAGAGAAGGGAGGACACATCTCTGTCCCAGGCAGAAGGCAGGACGGAAGCAGCCAAGAGGCCGAGGGCTGTGGGACCCACCGAGCCACCCCGGCCCCACCGAGTGCTCCTGCTCCAGACGTGCTGGCAGCTTACCAAGGTCATGTCGTCGCAGCAGGCGGCACAGGTGCAAGAGGCGGCGTGAGGGTTTAAGATCCCGTCCTGAAACGTACAAAGTACCATGACGCCTTAGAAAGTCAGCCCCTAACGTGAATCGTTCAAGACTAGATTTCGACCAGTTTTACCACTTACCTGCCATTCACAAACATAAAAATTCTTTTTCTTTTTTTTGAGACAGGGTCTTGTTCAGTAGCCCAGGCTGGAGTGCAGTGGCACCTTCTTGGCTCACTGCAGGCTCCGCCTCCCCAGCGCAAGTGAATCTCCTGCCTCAGCCTCCCAAGAAGCTGGGATTACAGGCCTGCACCACCACACTTGGATAATTTTTATATTTTTAGTGGAGACAGGGTTTTCCCACGTTGGCCAGGCTGGTCTCGAACTCCTGGCCTCAAGCAATCCACCTGCCTCAGTCTTCTGAAGTGCTGGGAGAAGTGCTGGGAGAAGTGCTGGGAGATGTGCTGGGATTATAGGCATGAACCACGGCACCCAACTTAATAAAAATAAAAATTCTGAGAAATCAGGGCCAGGTGCTGTCTTTACTAAAAATACAAAACAATTAGCTGGGCATGGTAGCTCATGCCTGTAGTCCCTGCTACTGGGGAGGATCAGGCAGGAGGATAGTTTAAACCCAGGAGGCAGAAGTTACAGTGAGCCGAGATCATGCCAATGCATTCCAGTCTGGGTGACACAGTGAGACTGCCTCAAAAAAAAAAAAAAAACAACCAGTAACTTCCAGAGCCTTCTCTTTTTCACAATGCCATTATTGGTGGTAGGATCCACCTCTTTTCTTTCAAGAATTTGCAAAAGACTCTACAAGAACTGATTCCTTAATACCACCCAAGGAACTAAACTGGAATAGGAATTAGAAGGCCTCTTCTCTTAGGAGCAGACTGAAGAGAAGTCAGGTGACTTTGAAAGGCTCACAGGCACTCAAACAGACGCCGTGACCTTCACTTCTACTCTTCTCATTTTCTGTGTATTTGCACCTACTCTGTGCCCGGCGCTGTGACCTCGTGCACTCCTCCCAACAATCCTCCCGGGTCAAACCACCATCACCCCATGTCCCATCAGGAAACTGAAATACAGAGAGGGCAGCTCGCCCAGTGTTACACTGGCAGCGAGCGGAGGCCTCAAACCCCATCTGTCTGACCCCGTGGTCTTTCCGCGCCGATAGCCGGGCCACCTAGAAGGGCCCCATGTCTGAGCTGCGTGCTGAGCACGGGTGGGCGCGTCCGGTACCTGGATGAGGCACTGCAGGGGCCGGCCTGCGTAGCGAATGCTTCTCTTCCAGTCCTTACTGCTGGCTCTTCCTGCCATGGCCTCAAACTCCGTGGGACTGTACCAGTTCTCCCCCTGCTTGATGCACCGCCCCCGGCCACCTGCAGGGAAGGGCAGCAGTCATGACGACAGCAGGTGGGAATGTCGCGCCGCAGTCCCCTCCCTCCTGGCACCTCCTCTGCTGCTCCACCAGCACCAGCGCTCCAGTGGCTCACGCAATCTCACTCACCCGTGTGCTTGGCCTCGACAGTCACGTCTGAGCCACCACGGGTCTCCCTTTGTGGCCTGTGCCTCTGACCCCATGTGATCTCTCCACCCACTGTCTGCAGTCACTGAAAGCTCAACCCGTCCCACACTGAGCACCTCTGGTACCTACTTCCAGAACCTTGGTACCTACAAGTCCCAAGGTGACCTGGCAGTTGGAGGAACACGTCCCAGCCCTGCCTCCCTCCTGCTACCTCTCCCGCCTGTCTCCCATCCCATGGGTCATGACGGCTTCTCAGCTCACCTCCAAATGGTTCCCGGGCCCATCCCTGCCCTGCGCCTCTCCAAGGCCTCAGCTCCAGTTCACAGGAAATGGGTGTCACTTGCACCTATGTCTTTTTAACTAGTACTATATGCCAGGACTTCCATCTTTCCCAGCCCCCAATTTATCCTAGGATTACAAATGGGAGTACAGCTTTGAGGTCTGAAGCTGCAGTCCTCACCCGAGCCCGGCCTGCCCCTGCGCGGCGTCCTCACCCGAGCCCGGCCTGCCCCTGCGCGGCGTCCTCACCCGAGCCCGGCCTGTCCCTGCGCGGCGTCCTCACCTGAGCCGAGCCTGCTCTTGTACAGCGTGCCGCTGATGTTCCGACATCGCACGGGTAGCTCGCTGTCGTACACGGAGGGGTCCCAGTTGTATTTGGTTCCACCTTTTTCTTGGCCGGGAGCCAGAGGAGTTGGAGGAGACTGAGGCCCTTGGGCAGAGAAGAGCATGAGGTGAGAGGCGGGCGGCAGCTGGGGAAGTACAGCACCCACCTCCCCGCAGCACCGCCTCCTGCCACTGCAGAGAAACTTCTCAGCCAGGAAAATCTCACGGCTTCTACTTAAAATCTATTAATATCTGCTATCCGAAATTTACCACAAAAAGAAACAAACAAACAATTAAACCCCTGAAATAAATTCTAGATACTCTGAAACGTGTTCTGCCCATGGCCTAGGGTGCAGGCACTGCTGTACCTGGGGTGAGGGGGGCCGCTGGGCCCTTCAGCCCGGTGGTCTCCACGATGCTGCCATCCGTGTGGACGACGATCAGTGTGGCTTTTTCGGTGTTCAGGCTGTCCCCGATCTGAAGGGCTGTCCTACCAGACTGGAAGAAAAAATGGCTCCGTCAGGTCACGTCTGAGCAGGACACCGGCCTGTCACTGAGCCCAGCTGTGTTGCCTCCAGCAAGGCTCTGGCTGTTATACCAAGAAGGGCCGCTGACCTAGGCATCCTGTATCTTTTCCAAAGACACCTCCAAGAGACTTAAAAACAGAGCCCAGAGCAAGAACAGACAATGCCTGCGTCTGCGTGGTGCTGAGGGAAATGCGTGCCTCCGTTTGTTACGGGGAAAGAATACATGTGCTCTGCAAACAGGAAACACCCTAACTTCCACCTGAGCAGCTCCCACAAGGTCAGTCTTCATGGAGGGTTTCCAGCAGACCAAGATGGCCGCCACAGACAAGGCCTCATGCAGGCCTCCCTCTCAGGCCCTGGCCCCAGAGGCCCCTACAGATGGCGGCTAGAGACCAGGGCCTCAAATCCGCATTTCCACACTGGCTGAAGGATGCTGCTGACTGCTGACTGCTTCCTCTGGGCAGGTCCCAAAATCACTCTTGAAACTGTACAGACCCCGCCACAGGCAGCAGAGTCCCCATGCCCACCCAGCACTGCTGGAACCTTACCCCCACCCTGGCCACGGCATCCAGCAAACTCCGGCCTCCTGGCTCTGTTCACCCAACTGCGGGGCAGACCAGAGATCTCCGGGGGCCTCTCCAAACCCAGCGTTCCGGGTGCTCCAAGGTTTTCATTTTGAATATGAAACCAACTGAGGCAAAGCGGGAAGACAACTGTTTCTCACATCTGAAAATGTCACTTTCACATCAGGGCACTAAGCAGTTTATCACGGAGTTGAGGGACCCCCAACACACATGCCTGGCGCCTGGTCTCCCGGGGGTCCGAGGGCCAACATCTCACACCGGGGGTCCCACCCGTGCCTGAGTCACCACAGATCTGTGGCTCTTCGCTGAGAAAGGAAATGTCTCGTGATTAAGAGTCACAGGGTATTTTTCTTAGGAAGGGAACATACAGTTATTTGAGAGCACATCCTGCTGGGCTGTCAGTTTCCAAACAGGAACACACCAGTCTCTGGTCTTCCTGGCCTGGAGGGAAGAAGACCAGCCTCGCCCTGTGCAAGCCACCCCTGCTCCCTGACATCAGCACATTCCAGGCACCCATAGGTGCCCCTCCTAGGAGATGAGGAGACCCCAGACCCCACTGCCAGGAAGGAGCAGCCTGACTGAAAGGACAGATGGCCATGTGGCCGTGGGTCAGCTTGTGTGTGTCCCAACACCCATCAGAACTAAACCAAGTTTCTCGGCTGGGCGCAGTGGCTCACGCCTGTGATCCCAGCATACTGGGAGGCCAAGGTGGTAACTGCCTGAGGTCAGGAGTTCAAGACCAGTCTGGACAACATGGTGAAACCCAGGAGGTAGAGGTTGCAATGAACCGAGATTGCAGCACTGCACTCCAGCACGGCTGACAGAGTGAGACTCCATCTCAAAAAAAGAGAAAGGAAGAAACCGACTTTCCAAGTTCCGCACACTTTTACTGAAGTCCTTCACAAGTTTCCTGTTTGCTGCCATTCTAACAATAACTCTGCTTTCCAGCCAGGCATGGTAGCTCACGCCTGTAATCCCAGCACTGTGGGAGGCCGAGGCAGGTGGATCACCTGAGGTCAGGAGTTTAAGACCAGCCTGGCCAACATGGCGAAACCCTGTCTCTAATAAAAATACAAAAATTAGCCTGGCATGGTGGCAGGTGTCTGTAATCCCAGCTACTCAGGAGGCTGAGGCACAAGAATGGCTTGAACTCACATGGCAGAGGTTGCAGTGAGCCGAGACTGCACCACAGCACTCCAGTCTACGTGACAGAGTGAGACTCCGTCTCAAAAACAAAACAAACAAATAGTCCACTTTCAGGTATACGGAGATGATGTCACAGGTGTGCAATCAAGGCGGAAAAGACTGTAAGTAACAGGTGCCAGTGGACCCAGGGAAAACCCCTTTCTGGGACTGGACCCACCACGGCGTCTGCCACTTAGAAACAAGGTTGCCTGCCCTGGTTGACTGGGTGTCCCCAGAATCGCCGAAGGCCCCACATATAACACATAAAGCAGGCTGATACGACACGATTGTGAAAGACCTCTCAACGTGCCACAGACACTATCTGCAACGCAGCTGGCTCCCAGCAGTTTCCTAAACACACAGCAGTAGGGCCTGCAGAATGAAGGTGCAAGGGAGGCTGCACCAGACGCTACGAGAACAGGACGTGCTGGGGGAGCGGGATGCTTCTCTCCACGGCCCGGCAGCTCCAGCACCAAGGGGCACAGGCAGGCTGGGCCTCGAGCAGAAGCTGATCTGTGGCCTGACGGCAGCCTGGGCTGGGTCGGGAGCTGGGGGTCCCCGCCCGGCGCAGGCCACAGCCCATCTGGCGAGGTGTGACTCTTCGACTGGCCTTCCATGGGCAGGCAGCTTCTACCCCGGCTCCGCTTTCTCCCACCTCAGCACAGCCCGACGGCTTCTGAGAGCGGAGTGAGCCGGTGCGTCCTCCCGAGCTCACAGGGCAGACGCTGGCACGGCAGGCTGAGCCCCGGTGTGGCACCAACCCCGCTGGGCTATGCCCCCCGGAGCAGCTTACCAGAACGTGTCCTGAGATGGATGCCGCGTTCGCCACAGACGTGGTGAAGACGTTATCCGCGGCGGCCCCCACGTTAGCCACTGTCACTGTGGTCACCTCTGCAACAGAAGAATCTCATTGAACAAGGGACAAAAGCTAGAACTGATGAAGCAAACAACCTCACTCGGGTGCTTCAAACAAAGTGACCCCCCAGGTACGTGCATTTGCAACCGGGAAGAGCTTACACTTCCCTAAAACACTCCATCAACGTCTCTGGTCCACAGTCTCAGCCATTCGGCTCTTCCAGGAAAGGACAGGAAATCTATCCTTCCCAGTAAAGCTCTTTACAACCACCCCGCCTCCACCCCAAATGCTCTACGAAACCACCAATGGGCTTCCATCTCCTATGGCGCCGCTGTGAGTCCTGCTGGTCAGGTGTGCCCTGCGCCTACATGGAGCTCTCGGCCTCCCCACAGGTAAGGACACCTCTTGGACCCACTCTCGCAGCCCACTTCCCGCCTCTCCTCCAACACAGGGGTCAGGCCACCACCGACAGGTGACCTCGGCCCCAAGCTCACTGTCCTTGCCCTTGGTCTCTAACCCCTTCCTACTAAAAAGTGCATCCAACCGGGCCAGGCGCGGTGGCTCACACCTGTAATCCCAGCACTTTGGGAGGCCGAGGCGGGTGGATCACGAGGTCAAGAGATGGAGACCATCCTGGCCAACATGGTGAAACCCCATCTCTACTAAAAATACAAAAAATTAGCTGGGTGTGGTGGCATGCACCTGTAGTCTCAGCTGCTTGGAAGGCTGAGGCAGGAAAATTGCTTGAACCCAGGAGATGGAGGTTGCAGGAAGCCGAGATCGTGCCACTGCAATCCAGCCTGGTGACAGAGTAAGACTCCGTCTCAAAAAAAAAAAAGTGCATCCAACCTGCCTATGCCCCTTGGTGCCACCCACCCCACCCCCTACAGCATGGAACTCAGCCCCCTGGCATGCAGACAGGACAGGTCTCACAGAGCTCAGCTGCACCCCACCTCCCACCACCTGTCACCCCAGATAGGTCCCGCAGCTCCAGCCTCTGTGTGCAGCCCTGCCGCCAACATCCCAAACCCTCCTCTCTGCCTCTGCAAAGCCTTTCCTTTTGTTTCTAGACCAAGCAAGGGACTCTTCTGTCACCCAGTGTTCTAGAATGTCCTTGCCCAGGGCAATCTCTGGCACACAGCAGATGCTTAAAAGATACTGGTTGAATGAGTCCTGACCACACCATTAACCCAGCACTCACCAAACAGCCCTAAAAATGCCTGTTCGCTATCTGTCTCCACTAGCAGACCATACCAGGCACACGGCTAACTCACCCTCACCTCTCGGCAGCAAAAGGCCCGGCAGGCGGTGCCAGGCCACGGTGAGTGCGGAATGCCAGGTTCATGGCAGCCCTGGGCACCTGCCCAAAGCTGTTACTCAAACCTGGAAACTACTTAACTTCAGCTATTCGCAATTTGTAAAACATATTAAAATGCTTTTACCACATCAAAACACAACTACAATATTCTGCAGTAGAAAACATACGTCAACATGTTTCTCTGACATCATGACAGACAGCATCATATTTCCTTTCCACATTCAGAAAAATACGTGCAAAAGGCCGGGCGCGGTGGCTCATGCCTGTAATCCCAGTTCTTTGGGAGGCCAAGGCGGGTGGATCACGAGGTCAGGAGTTCAAGACCAGCCTGACCAACATGGTGAAGCCCCATCTCTCCTAAAAATACAAAAATAACCCGGGCATGGTGGCGGGCACCTACAACCCCCAGCTACTCAGGAGGCTGACGCAGGAGAATCACTTGAACCCAGGAAGTGGAGGTTGCAGGGAGCTGAGATCACACCACTGCACTCCAGCCTGGGCGACAGAGTGAACTCCATCTCAAAAAGAGAGAAAGAAACGTGCAAAAATGATAAAAACTTGAAGTAAACCTCATGGCCCCAAATCTCAATGTCAAACCAGAGTTTATGAGCAAAAGCCAACCTCTGAGAGTCACCAAGCCTTCCCACACTTGTTTTCCTCAACCAGCCAAACAAGCAGCAGTGACCCCCTTGCCTCCGAAGGCCACTCAGCTGGCCACGCGCAGCCCAGTCGCTGCTGCCGACCCCCACCCCGCCCCAGGCCGAGCAAGCACCCAGAGCACCTGCGAGGCCCTGACACCCGGCACGCCCACCAGGCGCCCTAGGGAGAAGCTCCAAACAGGCAACAGGCATCTCCAGGGCTCTGCACCCTCGGCTGCCGGCCCCTGGGGCCGCTCGGGAGCTCCAGCCCGGAAGGGTGCCGGGTGTGGGGAAGCCGGTGGGTGGGGAGGCCTACGCCCCACTGACCCCAGGGCGGGACACAGGAGGCGGCGGGACAGGCTGCAGCGGACCGCCCCTGCCCCGCGAGCATCTGTGGGCTCTGCCGGGGCTCCCGGTGCTTTGGAGCCTGAGAAGGAGGCTGCTCTGTGTGCCAAGAAACTACCAGCAGTTTATACAAAAATATGGGCTGGCAACCCACAGCGGCCTCCCCGAAGGAAGCCAGACGGGACGGGGGCGGGAGGAGCAGGTCCTTAAGGAGAAGGCAGGAGGAAGGAGGGGGACTGGGCGGGGAGCCTGCACAGGTGGCTCTGCGGCCCCCGCGGGCCCCCCACAGCCACGCTGACCTCAGGCAGCAAGGCCTCCAGCAGGCCGCCCACCCGGCTCCCCAGCGCTCAGGTCGCGCTTCTCCGGGACAGGTGGGTGAGGGGAACCAGGATGGACCAGGGCAGGCGCAGGGGCAGGGGCAGGGGCGGGGCAGGGCGGCGGTCCCAGGCGAGGCTGCCGCAAAGAAAAGGGGCGGGGCGGGGGGGCCAGGTGAGGCTGGGAGGGTTACCTGGGGCAGGTGTGGGGGCGGGTGTGCAGGGCGGGCCGGTCCCGTGGGGCAGGTGTGAGGGGCAGGTTTGAGGGACAGGTGTGTGGGGTGGTGTGAGCGGCGCGCCAGTCACGTGGGGCGGTGTGCGGGCGGGCCGGTCACGTGGGGCAGGTGTGAGGGGCGGGTGGGGCGGGCCGGTCACGTGGGGCAGGTGTGAGGGGCGGTGTGCGGGCGGGTCAGTCACGTGGGACAGGTGTGAGGGGCAGGTGTGAGGGGTGGGTGGGGCGGGCCGGTCACGTGGGCAGGCGTGCGGGGCAGGTGTGAAGGGCGGGCCGGTTACGTGGGACAGGTGTGAGGGGCAGGAGGGGCAGGTGTGAGGGGCGGGTGGGGCGGGCCGGTCACATGGGGCAGGCGTGCGGGGCAGGTGTGAGGGGCGGGTGCGGCGGGCCGGTCACGTGGGACAGGTGTGAGGGGCGGGAGGGGCAGGTGTGAGGGGCGGGTGGGGCGGGCCGGTCACGTGGGACAGGTGTGAGGGGCAGGTGTGAGGGGCGGGCCGGTTACGTGGGACAGGTGTGAGAGGCGGGAGGGGCAGGTGTGCAGGGCAGGTGTGAGGGGCGGGTGGGGCGGGCTGGTCACGTGGGGCAGGTGTGAGGGGCAGGTGGGGCGGGCCGGTCACGTGGGGCAGGTGTGAGGGGCGGGAGGGGCAGGTGTGAGGGGCGTGGGGCGGGCCAGTCACGTGGGACAGGTGTGAGGGGTGGGAGGGGCAGGTGTGAGGGGCGGGTGGGGCGGGCCAGGTGTGAGGGGCAGGTGTGAGGGGTGGGTGGGACGGGCTGGTCACGTGGGGCAGGTGTGAGGTGCAGGAGGGACAGGTGTGAGGGGCGGGTGGGGCGGGCCGGTCACGTGGGGCAGGTGTGAGGGGCGGGAGGGACAGGTGTGAGGGGCAGGTGTGAGGTGCGGGCCGGTCACGTGGGGCAGGTGTGCGGGGCAGGTGTGAGGGGCGGGTGGGGCGGGTGGGGCGGGCCGGTCACGCGGGGCAGGTGTGCAGGGCAGGCGCGCGGGAACCGGGCGAGGCAAGAGGCCGGCGGGCGCACTTGCCTGCAAAGGCTGCAGCAGCGGCGGCCTCGTCGGGGCCGGGCAGGGCCTCGGCGCCCATGTCCATGTGCCCGGGCTCCGCCGCCATCACCGCCACTGCCGTGACCCGCGGCGTCTCCCGCTCCGCCTCCGAGTCTGCGTCCTCCTCCGAGTCCTCGTCCCTGCTCAGCACCGGCTCCTCCGCATCGCCTCCCGCCGCGGCCGCGGCCGCCGCCGCCACAGCGGCCGCGGCCGCCACCGCCGCCGCCTCAGCCAGGCCCAGCTGCTTTGCCGCCGAGTCCGAGTCCTCCATCCGGACTCCGCCGAGCCCTCCCGAAGGCGCCGTCCGGGGCCGCCCGAAGCGCCGGTCGCGGGGCCCGAAGCGGGGTCCGAAGAGGACGCCCGAGCTGGGCCGAGGCCGCCCGAAGCCGCCGCCCGAACAGGGGCCGAAAAGGCAGCCAGCCGCCGAGCGGAGCCGAGTCGAACCCGGCCACCGAGCGGAGCCGAGTCGAACCGAGGCTGACCGAGCAGGGGCCGAAACTGCACGAAGCCGCCGAGCCGAGACACAGTCCGGAACCGAGGAGGGTCGAAGCTACCCGAAGTGGGAAGCCGAGTCAGTCCGAATAGGTCCGAGTCCGCACGAGGGTTTCCGAGAAGCTCGGCCCAGCTCTCCTCACTGCCTAAGAGGCTGAGGCGACTGTCGTTCCCGGCCGACAGGGCTGGACGGCTCTGGGCAGATTCCCGCTGGCGCTCGACGCAATTCGGCCTCTCACAGAGAGCCCAGTGCCGCGGGCTTCGCCCGTTCCCGCTGCCGGCGGGAGCCGAGTCAACCCGACACCGAGCCGAGCCGAGCCGAGCCGAATGTCCCCGAGCCCGAATGCTCCGGAACCTCGGCTCTCCGCCTCCTCCCTTCCGAAAGTGCCCGAGCGCTCCCGGACAGACTAATCGGGCCTCGGCCGTGGCTCGGACGTCCGCTCCGAAACGCGGCACGGTCGGGCCCGTTCGTCAGGAGACGCGAAAATGGCCGAGGGAGCGCGAGCGGCGCAGGCTCAGAGGCTGTCGGGATCGCGACGGACCGGCGGGCGGGGCGGCCAAGATGGCGGCCGCGCGGCGAGGTGAGCTCCGGCGGGGCGGGGGCTTCCGAGCTGGCGGCGGCGGGCGCGGCGTCGCCGTGCGGTGGCAGTCCGGCTTCCGTTCTCGGTGCGCGCACGGGGCTGTGCCGCCGCCTCTGCGTGAGCGAGGCGGCTCCGTCGCCCCGCCGAGAAGCGCGGCCGGCCCGGGTGGCGGGCGGCTGGCCCCGGGGAGGGCGGGTGCGGAGCGCCCCCGGGGCGGCTGTGGGGGCCCCGGTCCCCGGCAGCTTCTGTGGGGACACGTGGGCGGGACGGGCGCGGGGCTCCGGTAGCCTTGGACTCCTCGCCCAAGAAAACGGCCCCTGCCCGTGCCCCGGCCGCCCCGCCGCCCCGGCCGAGGGGCGCCTCCGAGAGGAGGGACGGGCAGGCCGGGGCGGGAGTCGGGCAGGCCGGGCCGGAGTCGGGCAGGCCGGGGCGGGAGTCGGGCAGGCCGGGGCGGGAGTCGGGCAGGCCGGGCCGGAGTCGGGCAGGCCGGGGCGGGAGTCGGGCAGGCCGGGCCGGAGTCGGCCATCCCGCCGAGGAGCCTTCCGCTGCCGGCCGCGCAGTCGTCAGAGCTCGGTCTGCAGGGGAGAGAATGGCGGCTCCCAGGCCGGCGGCCGCTCGCCCGCAGGTCGGTCTGTGTGTCTCCGCTGCTTAGAGACTAAGGTTAGGGGCCGCGCGCGGCGGCTCGCGCCGGTCATCCCAGCACTTTGGGAGGCCGAGGCGGGCGGATCACGAGGTCGAGAGATCGAGACCATCCTGGTCCACATGGTGACACCCCGTCTCTACTAAAAATACAAAAAATTAGCTGGGCATGGTGGCGCGTACCTGTAATCCCAGCTACTCAGGAGGCTGAGGCAGGAGAATTGCCTGAGCCCAGGAGGCGGAGGTTGCGGTGAGCTGAGATCGCGCCATTGCACTCCAGCCTGGGTAACAAGGGCGAAACTCCGTCTCAAAAAAAAAAAAAAAAAAAAAAAAAAAAAAAGTTTATCCATGTGTCAGAATGGGTTTTGTGGATTCGCAGTTTGCCTCTTGCATATTGGAATGTCCAATATTTCAGGTACTGTGTTGAAGCATAAACAGTCCCCAAGCTGGCCGGGCGCGGTGGCTCAAGCCTGTAATCCCAGGACTTTGGGAGGCCGAGGCGGGTGGATCACAAGGTCGAGAGATCTGAGACCATCCTGGTCAACATGGTGAAACCCCGTCTCTACTAAAAATACAAAAAATTAGCTGGGCATGGTGGCGCGTGCCTGTAATCCCAGCTACTCAGGAGGCTGAGGCAGGAGAATTGCCTGAACCCAGGAGGCGGAGGTTGCGGTGAGCCGAGATCGCGCCATTGCACTCCAGCCTGGGTAACAAGAGCGAAACTCCGTCTCAAAAAAAAAAGAAAAAGATTAAGGTTAGGTCGGCCGCCGCGGCGCGCGCCCGCAGTCCCACGACTTTGGGAGGCTGAGGCTGCAGGATCGTCTGAGACCAGCCTGGGCCGCACAGCAAGACCCCTCTCTACCCAGGATCCGTGAACACCGGCCAGGCAAGGGGGCGCGCGCCTGTGCTGTCAGCCACGCTGAAGGCTGAGCGCCTGGCGGGTCATTGAGCCTGGGAGGTCGAGGCTTCAGCGAGCCGGCATCGCCCCACGGCACTCCAGCCTGGGCGACAGAGAGAGACCTGCCTCTACCGAAAAATTTAAAACTAGCCCGAGGAGGCTGAGGCTGGCGGATCACTTGAGCCCAGAAGGTCGAGGCTGCCATGAGCTGTGGTCTCAGGCCACTGCACTCCAGCCTGGGTAACAGCAACACCGTCTCCAAAAAAATTAAGCGAATCCCAGAACAAGATATTTTCACACACCTTGTCCATTACATCACGGAAGACATTTGTTCCCTTTTACTTGCATGCTTAACTTCTGTCCTGCCGAGGCTTTTATACAGTTGTTTTTCCCAAGCCCCACAACTTCAGTCTATCACAGTGAACGGCTAGCACATGGCAGATACGTTGGAATTGTTTAAGAAGCCCGCCTTTGGCCCGCGGAGTGGCTCATGCCCGTAATCCCAGCACTTTGGGAGGCCGAGGCGAGCGGATCACCTGAGATCAGGAGTTCCAGACCAACCTGACCAACATGGAGAAACCCCATCTCTACTAAAAATACAAAATTGCTTGGGTGTGGTAGCACATGCCTGTAGTCCCAGCTACTCGGGAAGCTGAGGCAGTAGAATGGCTTGAACCTGGGAGGCAGCGGTTGTGGTGAGCCGAGATTGCGCCACTGCACTCCAGCCTGGACCACAGAGTGAAACTTTATCTTAAAAAAAAAAAAAAAAAAAACACCAACCTTTCTTTTTTTTTTTTTTGGTGAGACAGTCTTGTTCTATCGCCCAGGCTGGAGTGCAGTGGCGCAATCTCGGCTCACTGCAACCTCTGCCTCCTGGGTTCAAGCGATTCTTCTGTCTCAACCTCCTGAGTAGCTGGGACCACAGGCACACACCACCACGCCTGGCTAAGTTTTGTATTTTTAGTAAAGATGGGGTTTCACCATGTTGGCCAGGCTGGTCTCGAACTCCTGACCTCATGATCCACCTACCTCAGCCTCCCAAAGTGCTGGGATTACAGGCATGAGCCACTTTGCCTGGCCAAAGAACCCAACCTTTAAGAAAAGGATCAGAAGGGAGGAAAACCCCAATTAATGCAAAATCAGCACAAATAATGATAGGTATCTAGGTAGCCCGGTTTAAGAACAGATCAGGTTTAATGAGTGGCCTGCCGGTAATACGATTCGATGTGGTTTGCAGTGCCCTTGGCTTTCTGCTTCCAGCAGGTGCCGCCTCCCAGGAACCCAGTTCTGAGCCTCTCATGCCAATGTCCTGTGTTTACTGGCTTAAGACTCTTGCCCGTGTGAGATTCCACAAACGCGCACAATAAGGCCCCAGATCCGCCCAAAAAGACAAAAATCTCACTGAGGCCGGGTTTCTGTTCTGCCCTCCCTGGTGCTGAAGGGGAAATGGAAGAGGCTGTGTTCAGGTGGCTGTCCTGCCTGCGGCCCAGGGGTGCTGCCCAGCTTCAGAAGTTGAGGAGAGCTGCTGTTTGGGTAGCTTCAGGGCGCAGCTTAAGCCTCCTTTTATGAGAGGTTTTCCCCCAGTTCTAGATCAGTGTTGGTGGACCCACACACATAGAGACGTGCGCATATCACATGTGCAACTCGCATGGGCCCTTTTCAGACAGTTAATCCCACCCGGGCCATGGTGGATCCCGGTTGAGGCAGAGGAGTCTTCAGATGCAAAACCGCAGAATCAGAAACGAGGGAAGAGGCTCCACTCACTAGGGCTTCCTGTCGCCCCAGGTGGGTGGGAGAAGGTGCAGGGGTTGCACGTTGGACTGCGGCACTGCTGGTTTGGAAAATTCTTATTTTTGGAGGGGTATTTGGGGATAACGTTTCAGAGGAATCCAAATGTCTGTTATCAATTACGGAAAAAGATTTGTTACAACCCAAGTCTAGTCCCGTCTGTGGCAAGTACGGAGAAGCGTCAGAGGCTGAGGAGCGCTGCTGTTCGGGCAGCTTCGGGGCGCTGCTTTCCCTGAGGGCCGGCTGGAGGGTTCACTTTCCACCCACCCCCATACTCAGGGTCTGTAGCCTCAGGTTCCGAAAGGCAGAGACTGCTGCGTCACTGAAGGATGGACAGAGAGGCGGTGGAGCAGGCCCACAGTGCATGTGTGCTGCTTTCTACACACATGACATCAAAGGAGAATAAAGCGGGTGGTTCCTGTCTAGAGCAAGACGCAGGAAAGCATCCTGGTGGCTGTCAGGCCTTGCTCACGGACACCTTCTCTTCCAGGGAGAGGCTCCTCCACCATGGTATCCTGCTGCGTGCCCCTCCAGGACAGCTGCCACGCGGAGCGTCTGCCTCACCCCCACTGATTTCCCTAAGTTCCACATACTAATTCCACTTCTGAGGGGGTGTTCCTCGGCAGATTTAGAGTTGACATAACTTCCTCCGGTTGGTGTGCTGGCTCCATCCCCCCGCTGCTGAGGCCTGTGTGCACAAAGTGGCTTAGCATGCCCAACTGCCCAGCTGCCAAGGGGTGGCCACCTGCCTCTGTCCTGGCCACTAGTGGCAGGAAGGTGGAAACACCCCACTTTGTATGTCCACAGATTGATTCTGTTTTATGTTTGTCTATGTATTTTTAAGGATGGAGCCTTGATCTCATCCAGGCTGGAGTGCAGCAAACGCAGGTCACTGCGGCCTTGGCCTGAAGCGCCGGCATCACAGGTGTGAGCCGCTGGGCCTGGCCGCAGTGTGAAACGTACACAGCCCGGGAAATGGCTAGCAGATACTTCAGTGCCCCAAACAGAAATATATTTTCTCTGAAGAGAATGAAAAAAGTGGCCAGACATGGCGGCTCACACCTGTAATCCCAGCACTTTGGGAGGCTGTGGTGGATGGATCACTTGATGCCAGGAGTTTGAGACCAGGCAGGCCAACACGGTGAAATCCTGGCCCTACTAAAAATACAAAAAATTAGCCGGGTGTGGTGGTGCATGCCTGTAAGCCCAGCTACTCAGGAGGCTGAGGCAGAAGAATCACTTGAACCTGGGAAGCGGAGGTTGCAGTGAGCCGAAATCACGCCACTGCACTCCAGCCTGCGAAACAGAGCAAGATTCTGTCAAAAAAAAAAAGAAAGAAAATGACAAAGTTATTTTTTCTAACTCGTAACTGGGACAAGAGTCAGGGTAACATCACTGGGGGTGCCATTGTGTGGAGGCTGTTCCGTAACC